AGGTATGGAAGCCACCACCGGAGATCGCCGGTCAGCCGGGCCGTTGACTTTTTTTTTTTGTAAACTTTTCTTTTTCCGGTATGTCACCGGCGTTGACCGCCGGGTCTCCGGCGTTGACCTTTTTGGTTCTTATATAATTTTGTTTTTTCTTAAAAAAATATTTTAATTAATATTACTGTCTTGGCTACTAAATTACTGTCTCCAACAGTTATTTAACTGTCGGAGACAGTAATTTAACTGTTAATTGACTTTTTTTTTTCTTCAAAAATATTTTAATTAATATTACTGTCTTGGATGCTAAATTACTGTCTCCAGCAGTTATTTAACTATCGGACACAATAATTTAACTGTTAATTGACTTTTTTTTTTATAAATATTTTAATTAATATTACTGTATATCTTTGCTAAATTACTGTCTCCAGCAGTTATTTAACTGTCGGAGACAGTAATTAACTGTTAATTGACTTTCTTTTTTTTTTTGAAATTTTTTTCTTAAAAAAAAATATTTTAATTAATATTACTGTCTTGGCTGCTAAATTATTGTCTCCAACAGTAATTTAACTGTCTTAGACAGTAATATTAATAATATTACTATTCGGGAAAATAATATTCATAATATTACGATCCCAAACAGTAATATTACTGTCTGAGACAGTAATTTAGTATAATATTACTGTCTTAGACAAAGATTCGGTTTTATCATAGTGTCCACTTTTGCTAGGAAAAGACCAAAAGTTAGATGATTATATGTATAAATTTGCTAGAGTGACGTCAGCAAATAATTCGTGTCTCCAACGTAACCAAGCTCCAAAGCTAATTATTTATCGAGCTTAGGGTTGAAAATCGAATGGATCGACTTGTAATCTACACTTACAAAGTAACTTAAACCTACCCCTTACCAAACTACAGTAGAACCTCGATAAATTCTCGATAATTTTATAACATTGTTTAAATTATAATTTTGTCCCGGTCCCAACTCGGTGAAAACATATTAAATTATCAGTTCGATAATCTAATATTTCGCTAAATTTAATTTATAGAGGTTTAACTGTATATATATTGTAAAGGGATCATGTACGAAACCTCATATATATAGTCTTAAAATAAATGTTTCCAATTGAAAAGAAAAGCCTCTAATTTCTCCTACGTAAATAACATTAAAAGGACAAAAATAATCTATATTATATATAAAACTAAGATACACAATCAAAGTTTTCTAATTGAGGAGATTGAGTCCATAATATTTTATAAATTTCAAAATAACCCCACTTACCATATTCACCCATATTACTAATGAATTAATTTCACATTATTGATTTTTAATTTTTTATCTCTCCTACATGTCAAAATGGTGTCTTTTTATTGGTTATTGATTTTCCTTTTTAGTCCATTGCTTCATATTAAAAAAACGTAAATATATAAATGGACATTCCACTTAATTTGGGTTAATTAAATTTTATGCACAATATTATATTAATTGCAAAAAAAACCCAATTTTCAAATTTCATCTATCCTACATGGCAAAATAGTGTCTTTTTATTGGTTAATGAGTTTTTTTTTTATTATAATATTTTCATTAAAAAAATCGTGGGACTGAAATGCAATTATGTTCCACCACATATATCACATATTATGATTATTTTCAAAATAACCCAACTTACCATATTCACCCATATTACTGATGAATTAATTTCTCAATAATGATTTTTAAATTTTATCTCTCCTACATGTCAAATTGGTGTCTTTTTATTGGTTATTGATTTTCCTTTTTAATCCATTGCTTCATATTAAAAAACGTAAATATATAAATGGACATTCCACTTAATTTGGGTTAATTAAATTTTATGCACAATATTATATTAATTGCCAAAAAAACCCAATTTTCAAATTTCATCTATCCTACATGGCAAAATAGTGTCTTTTTATTGGTTAACGAGTTTATTTTTTATTATAATATTTTCATTAAAAAGTTGTGGGACTGAAATGCAATTATGTTCCACCACATATATCACATATTATTATTAATTTCAAAATAACCCAACTTACCATAGTCACCCATAGTATTACTGAATTAATTTCACATTAATGATTTTTAAATTTTATCTCTCCTACATGTCAAAATGGTGTCTTTTTATTGGTTATTGATTTTCCTTTTTAATCCATTGCTTCATATTAAAAAACGTAAATATATAAATGGACATTCCACTTAATTTGGGTTAATTAAATTTTATGTACAATATTATATTAATTGCCAATAAAACCCAATTTTCAAATTTCATCTATCCTACGTGGCAAAATAGTGTCTTTTTATTGGTTAATGAGTTTTTTTTATTATAATATTTTCATTAAAAAAATCGTGGGACTGAAATGCAATTATGTTCCACCACATATATCACATATTATTATTAATTTCAAAATAACCCAACTTACCATAGTCACTCATAGTATTAATGAATTAATTTCACAATAATGATTTTTAAATTTTATCTCTCCTACATGTTTATTTTTAAAGTAGTAAAGATAAAATAGGTAATTACATCAATTTATATTAATTACTTTTTTTGTTACCTTTTTTATATTCCCTAACTCTACTATAAATTAACATTCAACATGATGTACATTCTTCAACTTTTCCACATACTTTTTTTTTCTGTTTCGGAGATATGGAGAGAATTCTTGAAAAAGAATTGCATTGGTATCACCTACATGCAATGGTATATTCATCATAGTCTCTTTTTTAGTGTAACAATGAATTATTGCTTTATTTTGTATCTGATTTCTTCATTCAATTTTATATGTAGCCTTTAAAGAATGCTTTTGTTGAGGCTTCTCGGTTGACCGGATTGTCTACTATCAATATTCGATACGAGGAGGGAAATTATTTTCAAGTTGCGGTATCTTCGCGCCAAAACATGGAAAAATGTATATGTTGTTGACTAAGGGTTGGACAGAGTTTTGTTACGCACATAACATGGTTTGCGGCAACACGTATTCTTTTTTTTTTTAACCAATGGGATGATGTACTTGAGGTGTGGCACGGCCCAGCCTTTCCAACGATATGATATGTCTTCGCCCTCCTTAAAGTTTTATTATTAATAATATGAGTTGCATCGATTTATAAATAATTTCAATTTTTTTTAGTGTTTTATTTATCATGTTGAAAGAGCATTGTATACCATTAACATAATTGTGCGCATCCACACGAAAACGAATACCCATAAAATAATTAAATAAATATGTAGAAACGATAAAACAATTATAATATATTACAAAAATAGTCACAATATATATCACGTATTTTTAAATAAAAGAATCCATTAAATCGATAGAATCAATATACATATTTAAACAATATATTCCGCTATTTTTATAAGCATTTTTAAATGTTCTAAAAAGCATAACCATTATATATAA